TGGGCGTATCTCACTCAGCTTCGGCAGGACCAAACACTTCCGGTCGGACGCATCGACGCATTATTTTTAAAAGACCACACTCTTGGGTGATGCCATTACTTGTCTTCCTACATTGGTTAAGTACAGCACTAGTGTCAAAGCAAACAAATGAAAGCTAATCAAGCTTTGGCTAAAAGCATAACGCAGACCCATGAACAAGGACTTCAATATATCATACTGCTTTCCATACAGAGATTTAAAGTAACACTAAAGCTTCATCTGTGCAGTGATTTTGCACAGAGAAGCCCTGATCCTCTTCTTTTCAGGTCCCCCCTGGTGCTCCTGGCTCCTCCCCCTTGAGCAGTGCTTTCCCTGCGTCTTTCCCTGCCCAGGGAAAGACACATAGAGCCATAGCTCATTCCCGCTCCTGCTCTCTCCTCATAGGCTCACTGGCTGTGATTGACAGAAGTGGGAGCCAATGGGCTTCCGCTGCTGTCTCAGCCAATGAGGACGAAGAGTCCCCAGACAGCAGAGGCAGTTGAGAACATCGCTGGATTGGTGGGGGCTCAGGTAAGGATTGGGGGGGCTGGGGGGCTAGGGGGGCCGCTGCACACAGGTTTTTCTACCTTCATGCATAGAATATGTGAAGGTAAAACACCGTGAGCCTTTAGAACCACTTTAACACAGGATCCATCCTATGCAGCACCAGTGAGCCAAAACCCAGTGTTAAATTGTTAGCCAGCTATTACATCTGCACATAACTAACATCCCCTTTTGATGACTGCTTTGTTTGATTCAGGAACTTTATTGGTGTTTTTTTGCACCCATATAGATTTATTATGTACTTTTCAAATTTAAGCCACCTTGCATATTATTCAGCTGTCAATCGTGTGCTTAAAAACTCAAGGACTGCATTCTAAATTGAATTTAAACATTGGCTCACCACTGTTGTATCCAAATGAGCTTCAGGGCACACTCTGGAATGCCATTGTAAATCTGATGTTACAATGCTAAACTTTTCTGGGTGTTTAGCAACAGTCTTCCACAGCTAATGTCTGTTTTGACATTTAGGAGTTAGCGGGTCACTGGTGCAGTTACAATAGCCATAGTAAATCAATCCTATGTCTTCATTGGTATTGGCCCTCTAGATCTGCCACAAACCCAGGCTAAAATGTAAGGCTTATATAAACCCTAGTCTATTTTCTACTATGTATGCCATATTTGCAGGTACCAGCAACATTGTTAACTTGTGGTTCACACTCCTTCAGTTGGCCGTTGGGCTGCCTATCTTTTAGACCTGACAGGCAGCTTTACAGACAATTAAAGGAGTATACAAGGAATGCTGACAATATTGCTGCTAATTGTGAGACAGTGGCTTACCATTGTCAGCCTACTACAGGGAGTGCAGTTACTGGCAGTCTCTCCATGTAAGAATCTTTGCAAAAGATTTAATAGAGGTATCTGATTAAACTGTATACAGTGAGGTATGATGCCAAACATACTGAAAAAGGGAATATGTGTCTAGAACTCCTAGCTTCTTATAAACATACCCCTATGTTGTTCATATTTTTGATTTCCATAGTAAGCAAGACAATTTCAGTAGCTGACATGACATAACAGATGATGTCTGCCGCAGCACAAAGGAGTTCTATAGTCATGTTTTTAACCCAATACATGATTAGTCTATCATTCTGTGTCTTTTTATTAAGCTGATCACTAAACAAATAACCAATGCAATTCACAGGTATCACAAGTGGAGCTTCAACTTTCAAACACAATTCCTTGCCATGATAGATGATGACCACAAAACTCATTTAGTAGCAGGAGAGAAAAGAATGTCATTTATTGGATTATAGAAGCAGAATCCAAAGCCCTTATATCCTTAAGGTTCCATAAAAAATAATATTAAAACTCTTCCAAGAGAAGGACTCCAAAAATGAAGTAACCACTTCACTACTGCCTGTATGTTTATAAAAACAGTGGAGTGGTAGACTGTTATTTCTCCAGTGCTGTTTTAAAAATGTCATTGGAGAATGCACCACTGGGTGCTCATTGCACTCAGTAATGGGTTTTCAACTCAACTATCATTAGACGCAATAGAGTTGATTTACTAAAACTGGAAAGTGCAAAATCTGGTGCAGCTCTGCATAGAAACCAGTCAGTTCCAGGTTTTATTGTCAAAGCTTAACTGAACAAGCTGATGAAGTTAGAAATTGTTTGGCTAACCATGCACAGATGCAGCAGATTTTCTGAACTCTCCAGTTTTAGTAAATCCACCTCAGTATATCAAGGTTATCCAAGTGGCTCTGTACCATGTGATCACTTTGAAGATCAATCAACAGCTATCCACAAATGTAAACACACTACTGTTTACACTTTTGACCCTTACCCTTTCTCTTACAATGAAGGAAGAAGAGGAAAGGGTAGACATTTATGAATGGGAAATTGTTTTTTAACCCTTTCACCCCCCCTTCCCCACAGTATCTCTAGTACATATGATTAGAATGAGCGAAGATATTCAAAAATTCGATTCGGCTGATTCGGGCGAATTCGAGGAATAAATTCGATATCGATGCGAAATTATTCGCTGCGATTTTAACTTATAAAAGGGTGTTTTCTAGGCTTCATGGAGAGCCTTTATATTAGTGCAGAACCACTGTACCTTTAATTTAAATGCCCTTGGAGTCTGCAGTGGGAAGAGTAAATAATAACTGTCAGTCAGGTATGACATGCTGATGAGTGCCGTCGATCTTAGAATCACCGCACACTTCACTCATTTGGGCAGTCACGGGGCCAAAACCAGAGTGTGGAGCCACAGTGCGGCGGTGGACGGCAGCAGCAATGGGAGGCCATACAGCACCCTATGACAAAAAATGGAGACACACCAGCAGTGTGAGGAGACCTGAAGTGGCACATGGCAGAGTGTGGCGATGGCGAGAGACAGCAGCAATGGGAGGCCGTACAGGGACCATGACACACTCTGGACCTGGCAGCAGCATTAGGAGGCGGTAACAGGGGCCCATGGCAGAATTACCGGCCTGGCAGCAGCAATGGGAGGCCCGTAATCTGCGCAGCTACCCCTATTGGACAAATGGAACACACCAGCAGTGTGAGAGACCTGAAAGTGGCATCATGGCATAGTGTGGCGATGGTGACACAGCAGCTATGGAGGTCCGTACATGTATCCCAATGAGGAGACTCTGGGACCTTGGCAGCAGCAAGAGAAGGAGGCGGTACAGGGGCCCATGGCAGATTACGGGCCTTGGCTAGCAGCAATGGGAGGCCCGTTTCTAATCTGCTCAAGTCACCCTATGACAAAATGGGTACCTCGCCACAGTAGTGTGATGAGACCTGAAAGTGGCCAACCTGGTTATGGGGCATGATTCATGGCGGGATTTAGTTAGACAGGTTGTGTCAGGAACTGGTGCCCCTTTGAGTAATCCAGACAAATCCACCGCCTGGATTCATTTTCACAAATGCTTGAAGTCTCTCCACCACACTTTTGGGTTGACTATGTCGTGGTCTCTCCTGCGGACGTTACCAATACCTCCTGCGCACAGACTAAACAGACAGCGCTCCGTATGCGCAAACGCTACTGTGCCGGGGCATTGACAGCCTTTCAAGTGGCAATATTCACAGTAGATGGGGCCAAAAGGTCAAGTTTCGTTTCGTTCCCAGTAAGTCAAGGGGAATTGTCTACCCTCGGTTGGCCAGGGTTGCAGTCCCAAGTAGGCCAAAGCCTGTTGTTTGAGGACCTGCACCAGGTCCAATCTGAATGCTGCACTGCTGCTGCGGCTGGTTAGTAGTTTACCTCAGTGCGCTGGTGAAAGAAATCGTACTCTTCAGTTCGACTGCAGACTGAGGCAGCCGCTGCTTGTGGAGCTGCCAGACATTGCTCTCCAACCACCCCCACCCAGCCCCTGCTGCCATGGCAGCGGAACCTGGCGGAGCGCACAGGGCCCACAGAGCAGTTGGGTTGAGGATGGACGGTGGCGCAGAAAAGCAGAGACCAGCTGTCTATTATAGGTGGGTTTATATAGTACTTTTATTTTGGCCTCCCTCCTCAGCAGGTGTGAAAAAGGCCACCATTTTTTGAACTGGTATCGAGGGTCCAACACGGTGGACAGCCAAAAGTTCATCCCTCTGTCTGGATGGTTATTAATACGGCCTGTCGTCTAACGCAGAAGCAACCGAGCATGCTATGGGCCATTTGGTGCCAAGGGAGATGCGAGGGGTCTCCCTGCCTTCCATCTTCTCGACAGCATACTCAGCCAGTCGATGCGTTCTGGGTCCACTGTTCTCCTCCTCCTCCTCCTGCTACCAGATGCTCCTGCTCCTCACACTCCTGTCCGCTGAGAGGAAAAAACCAGCCCATTTTCACTCAATAAATCCTGAGGACCAAATGTCCATCTCTGTACCTCGCTCCTCTTCTTCCTGTCCTGCCCCCACAGGGGTCATGTTGTGCGCTGAGATCTGTGCGCGCCACATCTACCTCACCCTGACAGCCCCATTGTTAACAGCAATATTGTTCCATGAACGTGGCAACAGAGGCATGACGTCGTTGATCCCATAGTCCTCTGCCGACTCATCGAATTAGCGAGGCCTCCTCAAAAGGGGCCAGAGCACGCGGCAGGTTAGTCACTCATGAGTCTGCCAATGGCTGACATCTAGTGTTACACAGGGGTGTACCTTTATCTGTTACGCTTGTAACATCAGGAAATGCTGTGATGGACTTTCGGCTGTTCGTAAAGGGGGGTCTAACATATGTAGGGCTGAATTCCTACCTGTGTGTGCAAACGTTCACAGCATTAGGAGTTCGGTACTGGGCCCATGGCAGAATACGGTGCCTGGCAGCAGCAAGTTGGAGGCCCGTAATCTGCCAGAACCCCTATGACACAAAATGTAACCCACCAGCAGTGTGAGTGAGTGCCTGAAAGTGGCACATGGCAGAGTGTGGCGATGGAGACAGCAGCGCAATGGGAGGTCCGTTACCAGTGGACCCATGAGGACACTGTGTGTACCTGGCAGCAGCATGAGGAGGCGGTACAGGGGCCCATGGCAGGGATTACCGGGCCTGTCTAGCAGCAATGGGAGGCCCGTAATCTGCCAGCACCCCTAGTGACAGAAATAATGTGAAAACACCACCAGCAGTGTGAGTGAGACCTAGAAAGTGGCACCATGGCAGAGTGTTGTCTAGGGAGACGTGCAGCAAGGGTGAGGCCGTACAGGGACCCATGAGAGGACCCCAGCTGGTGACCCTGGCTAGCTAGCTTTGAGGAGGCCTGGGTACGGTGGCCGCCATGGTCAGATTATACAGGGGCCTTGGCAGGGGGCAGCAATGGAGGGAAGGCCCGTAATCTGTCCAGCCACCTATGACAAAATAATGGAACACACACAGCAGTGTGAGGAGAGACCCTGAAAGTGGCGTCATGGCAGAGTGCTGGCGATGGAACACAGTCAGCAATGGGAGGCCGGTACAGGGAACCCATGAGAGGACTCTGGACCTGGCAGGCAGCATGAGGAGGCAGTACATGGGCCCATGGCAGATTACGGGCCGGCAGCAGCAATGGGGGGCCCATAATCTGAAACACCCTTTAAAAAAAAAAAGGGGAACACACCAGCATTGTGAGGGGGACCGAAATTTGGCACATGGCAGAGTGTGGCGATGGAACAGCAGCAATGGGAGGCCGTCGGGGAACCCATGAACACTCTGGACCTGGCAAAGCACCCATGAGGAGGCGTACGGGTTTCCCATGGCAGATTAGGGGCCCTGGCAGCAGCAAGGGGGAGGCCCTTAAAACTCCCAGCACCCTATGAAAAAAAATTTGTAACACCCCGCAGTGTGGGGAGACCTAAAGTGGACAGGGCCCAGAGTGGGGCGATGGGGGACAGCAGCAAGGGGAGGCCCGGTACGGGGACCCATGAGAAAATCGGGACCTGGAAAGCAGCATATTGGGGGTTACGGGGGGCCCATGGCAAAAATTACGGGCCTTTGGAAAGCAGAAAAGAGGGGGCCCTTTAATCTGCCACCACCCTTTTACAAAAAAGGGAAAAACACACCAGCATTTGGTGAGGAGCCCTGAAAGTGGCACATGGCGGAGTGTGGTGATGGAGACAGCAGAAAGGGGAGGCCGTACGGGGGACCCATGAGAGACTCGGGAAACCTGGCAGCACTTTGAGGGGGCCCGGTTTGGGGGGGGCCCCCCATGGCAGATTAGGGGCTTGGCAGCGCAATGGGGGCCCGTAATCTGCCGAACCCTATGAAAAAAAAATTAACACCCAGCAGTGGGGGAAACCCCTTTGAAAGGGGCCCACTGGCAGAGTTGGGGGATGGAAGCAGCAGAAAGGGGACCCGTACGGGACCCTTAGACAATCTGGACCGGGCAGCACATGAGGGGGCTTACGGGGGCCCCGGGCAGATTAGGGCCCCCGGGCCCGGCAGCAATGGGGGGCCCCCAAAACTGCCAGCACCCTATGACAAAAAATGGAACACACCAGCAGTGTGAGGAGACCTGAAAGGGCAAAAAGGCAGAGTGTGGGCGATGGAGCACAGCAATGGTGTAGGCCGTACAGGGACCCATCATAGGAGACACAGACCTGGAGCAGCAGCATGAGGAGGCGTACAGGGTCCCTGCATGATTACCGGCCTGGCACAGCAATGAGAGGCCCCTAATCTGCCAGCCACCCTATGCCAAAAAAATGGGAACACACCCTGCAGTGTTAGGAGACCTGAAAGTGGCAACATGGCAGAGTGTGGCGATGGCGAACAGCAGCAATGGGAGGCCGTACAGGACCCATGAGAGACTCTGGACCAGTGCAGGCAGCATGAGGTGAGGCGGTACCGTTGCCCATGGGCAAAGATTACGGGGCCCTAGGCGAGCAGCAACTGGGAGGCCTGTTGAATCTGCCTGCCACCCTCTGACAAAATGGATAACACACCCGCAAGTGTGAGGAGACCTGAAAGTGGCCACATGGCTATGAGTTGTGGCGATGGAGACCGCAGCACTGGGAGGCCGTTATTTACAGGGACCCATGAGAGACTCATGGAGGACCTTGTCAGCAGCATGAGGAGGCGGAGCGTACTTGGGGGTGCCCATGGCAGTATTACGGGCTGGCTTAGCAGCAATGGGCGGCCCGTAATCCTAGCCAGCCACCCTATGACAAAAAATAGTAACACAACAGCAGTTGTGAATGAGACCCCTGAGAAGTGGCACATAGGCAGAGTGTGTTGGCGATCGGCAGACAGCAAGCAATCGGAAAGCCGTACAGGGATCCATGAGAAGAATCTGGACCTGGACGCAGCAGCATGGTGGAGGCGACTGGTATACAGGGAGCCCCATGGCAAGATTTCACGGCCCTGGAAGTCAGCAAATGGGGACGGCCTGTAATCTGCCAGCACCCTATGACAAAAAATGGAAACACCACCAGCACTTGTAGAGGGAGACCCTGAAAGTTGGCACATGGCATGAGGTATTGGCGATGGTGACAGCAGCAATTGGGAGCGCCGTTTACATGGGACCCATGAAGACACACTGTGGACACTGTCAGCATTAGCATTAGGGAGGCTGCTACTTGGGGCCCATGGCAAGATTACAGGCCTGGCGAGCAGCAAAAGTGGGAGGCCCGTTACTCTGCCAGCACCCTATGACAACAAATGGCACACACAGCAGATGTGAGGAGACATGAAAAGTGGGCACATGGGCAGAGTGTGGCGTAAGTGAAGACAGCAAGCAATGGGAGGCACGTACAGGGACCCATGAGAGACTAGGGAACTGGCCAGCAGCCATGAGGAAGTGGCGGTACGGGGGCCCATGGCAGATTACATGTCTGGCAGCAGCAATGAGTGAGGCCCGTAATCTGCCAGGCATCCCTAATTGACAAAAAAATGGAACACACCGCAGCAGTGTGTGAGGAGACCTGAATGTGGCCACATGGCAGAGTGTAGTCGATGGGAGACAGCAGCAATGAGAGGCCGTACAGGGACCCATTGAGAGACTCTGATGACCTGGGCAGCAGGCATGTATGGAGGCTGCGGTACTACGGGGGCTCCGATGGCAGATTATGGGCCATGCAGCAAAGTCATTAGGCTGGCCCGTAATCTGCCAGCACCCTATGACCAAAAATGGAAATAACACACTAGCATGTGCTGAGGAAAGGAGTACCTAGCAAAGTAGGCACATGGCTCAGAAGTGTGGCGATGGAGACAGCATGCAATGGCGTAGGCCGTACAGGGACTCCATGAGAGACTCATGGACCTGGCGAGCAGCTATGAGGAGTGCTTGGTACTCGGGTTGCCCATGGCCATATTAACCGGGTGGCTCCAGCAGCAATAGGAGCGGCCCGGTTAATCTTGCCAGCACCCTATGACAAAAAAAGTAAACACACCATGCAGTTGTGAAGAGTAGCCCATGCAAGTGGCACATCATGCAGAGTTGTTGGCGATGGAGACAAGCAGCAAATTGGAGGCCGTACAGGGACCCATTGAGACATCTGTGACCTGGGCCAGCCGAATGAGGATGCGGGTTTACAGGGGCCCAATTGTGCAGATTACAGGGCCTGGCAGCAGCATATAGAGAAGGCTGTAATTCTGCCAGCAACCTATGACAAAAAAATGGAACACACCAGCAGTGGTGAGGAGACCTGAAAGTGTGCACATCGGCAGAAAGTGTGGCGCAATTGGAGACACAGCAGCAATTGCGGGCAGCCCGTACAGGTGACCGCAATAGACACACTCAGTAGAGACCTTGGCAGCAAGCCTCATGAGGAGGCGCAGTTTACAGGAAGCCACATGGCAGATTAGGGGCCTTGGCAGCAGCCTATGAGAGGCCCGAGAATCTGCCAGCACCCTATGACCTATAACATGGGAACACACAACCATCAGTGTGAGAGACCTGACAGTGCACAGTCAGAGTGTGGCGTGGAGGACAGCACCATGAGGAAAAGCCGTACAGGACCACATGAGATGACTCAGGACCTGCAGAATCAATTAGAGGCGGTACGGGGGCCTGCCGGCAGATATACAAGTCCTGGCAGCAGCAATGCTAGGGCCCGTAATCTACAGGACCCTAACAAAAACTGGAACACAACACAGCATTGTTAAGAGACTTGAAAGTGCAGCACAATGGCAGGATTGGAGGCGATTGAAGACAGTCACCAATTAGGAGGCCCGATGGTACAGGGACACCATGATAGGAGGACTCTGGACAGAGCACAGCATGATGAGGGCTGTACGGGTGCCCGTAATGGCATATACGGGCCAGCCAACGAGCTCTGGGCAGGCCCCGTAATCTGCCAGCACCCTAGTGAACATAAGAAAATGAAACCACCAACCAGCAGTGTCGAGAGTATAACCTGAAAGTGGAGCACAGTGTACGAGGCATGATATCATGGCGGATTTAGTCAGATTTAGTGTCAGTTAACATGGAAGGTGATTGAAATCCAGACTAAATCCACCTCGCCTGATTCACTTTTCCACAAAACGCTGAGTCTCTCCACACTTTGTAGCTGGCCAGTCTAGTCCTCCGCTGGATCAGTTGTACCAATCCCTTCCAGCGCAGCCACCTGAAAACACTTGCTCCAGATTGCCCACGCGAACTCAGAGGGCCAGGGCAAATGACCAGGCCTTTCAAAGGGAGGCAAATTCAGCTAGTTCGGGCCAAAGAGGTTCAAGTTTTCGTTGCCCAGTAACAGTCAAGGGGATTGTCTACTCCCGGACTATGGACACAGGGTGCTGTCCCAAGTGACAGGCGCTAAGCCTGTCTGTATGAGGTCCAGCTCCGAGGCTCCACCTGATCGAGCTGCATTGCTGCTGGCTCCGAGCTAGGGTTAGTAGTTTTCCTCACTGCGCTGAGGTGAAAGAAAGCTACTCATCATCGACCCTGCAGACTGTGGCAGCCGCTGCTGGTGGAGCTGCCCACTGCTCCTACACCACCCTCCACCCCTCCCCTGCTGCCCATGAGCAGCGTGAACGCGAGCGCACAGGCCCACAGTGTCTGAGGATGGACGTTGCGCAGAAAGGCAGACGACCAACTGACTACATAGGTTGGTGAGCTTTATA